AAAAAAGAGGAATAGGATCTTCGTGGTGGAGGGATGTGTGTGATATAAATACAATGAATGGGGGCAGCGACGGTTGGATCAAAGAGGGTTTCAGGGTTAACATTGGGGAGGGTAATACAGTTAGTTTTTGGTGGGATAAATGGAGGGGAGAAGAGTGTCTTGCTAATATGTTCCCAAGATTGTATCTGCTGTCTACAGAGAAGTCGAAGTTGTGTAGTGAAATGGGAAGGAGAATCAACGGGTTATGGGAGTGGAATCTATCATGGAGGAGGAGTTTGTTTGATTGGGAAAAGGAAGAAGCAATGGAATTACACAATAAGATTCAAAACGTGCAGATTTCTCAAGGATGCAAGGATTTCTGGGAATGGGTCCACAGCAAGAATGGCAAATACTCAACAAATTCAGCTTACACATTGTTAACCAATGACGAGAGGGATGCAGCAGAAAAAACAACTTTCATAAGAATTTGGAACCCCATTCTACCAAGCAAAATCTCAGCATTCAACTGGCAGTTATTACAAGACAGGATTCCAACCAAAATGAATTTGCTGTCAAGAGGAATCATCGAGGACATCGGTGAATGCAAGTGCGGAATATGTGGTGAGGAAGAGGAGGACTCAAAGCATTTGTTCTTGAGATGTAGCATGGTCCGTTGGTTATGGATGGCTTGTGCAAAGTGGTGGGACATTAAAGTTACAATGGAACTGGACTGCTGGAACACCTTTCGAAATCCTGAAAGTGAACAAAAAGAGAAATGTATTAGAGAAGGATGGGATTGTATCTGGAGTTCCTTAGTATGGACAGTGTGGCTGGCCCGTAATCAAAAAATTTTCCAAGGCAAAGAGGTTAACCGAGAGAAGATGTTGGAGCTCATCCAATTAAAGTCATTTCAATGGTTCACTACAAGAAAAGAAAGGTATGCCTTCTCATTAACGGACTGGTTTATTAATCCAGTAGCATGCTTGAAAGATTGCCGTAGGAAAAGAAGGATTCCTAATGAATAGCAGTAGGAGGGAGGGTTTGTTGATGTCTGGGAGTTGTAGTCTATGGTTTTAGCTTTGGAGGTTTGAATTGTTGTATTTGGGGGCTCACAAAGGTTATTGAGCAATTATTGACTATAGTAGTTTAAGCCATAGTCAATGCATGATCAATGTCTTGTGGGTCTGATGAGGTTGTTCGAGTGAGGGTTCGTTGATCTATGCAGGGAGTTATGATGTAAAGGAAAAGTGGGCAGAATCCTCGTTACGGACGTGGTGTCGACACTTTGTTAAGGTGTCGACACCTTGTAGCACTTTTTAAATTGTCATGGGTTTGGAGTACCCCTTGTATTCCGTTTTCTTTTTTATTAATAAATATCTTTTTGCTGTTCAAAAAAAAAAGTCCTTTTAAATAATTTTTACTGACGAATAAGTTCCTAATGAAATATTATAGCAAATCTAGCCCTAATATATAACTAGGAGTCACTCTAATGTGGATACTTTCTAAAAGGTGGCAAATTAATTTCAACTTTAAATTACATGTATGACTTCATATCATCATTTAAATTTTAATTATTTACAAGA